CACCACACCCAGACACACTGAAACAAACACACTGACACACACACACAAACAAACAGTGGCTAAGAATGATTCCAGCACCCAGACTAATTAGATACTGGATATTCAGGGCTGTTTGATACAGGAAATAAGCAAAATGTTATCCTCAATTCTTGCAAGGAGCCCAGGGCCATTGGTGAAGCACGTAGCTCAGCCCAATGGCACTTGAACAGGAAGCTATCTCTATGAAACAATGTTTTTTTCTCTCTCTCTCTGAGCAGTATAACAATATTAAAGTTCGGAAACGCATTCATATAAGCACGTAATCTTGATGTTAACACTGCACCTTTTGGGATACGCTGCAAGATTTTAAAACCAAATGATGTCAATAATCTGCAATTTCATCGATGACGCAGGGTGAGATTCCTACCCCTCAGATTATTGCTGTTGGGTTCACTTTTTAGAAAAAGGTCAGGACCTTCATGTCCATTGAGGAGTTGTGACTTGGCTTTGTAACAAAGGTTGTTTTTGCACCCCCCCCCCCCCCCCCCAATAAAAATAAATGAACTTTCCTCTCAGTACCAGGGTCAGCCCTGTGTTGCCCACTGGGTATATTTGAATAAACATAATAAATGTAATATAATACAATACAATTGGAAGAAGCGTGCAGTTTAATGGGACAAACCATCAAGGACTGGACAGGAGAAGTACATGAACAGCCGATTCCATGGCAGAAATATGTGGGATTGAAGCTGTGTAACTGCTACCTTGCCATAAATTGTCGTATTATATGTTGTTGGTTCCACATCAGAGCACAAACAGCCCCCAACTGCAGATCAAACAATCACTCCAATCTGGATATTAAAATAATAATTACAATGTTAACAAGTTGCCCATTAAACTAAATACCTAATGTATCTTGCATCTAATGTAGTGTAAGGATACAACCTTACGATAGGGTCAAACATACATACATACATACATACAAACATACAAACATACATACAAACATACATACATATATACATACATACAAATATACAAACATACAAACATACATACACACATACATACAAACATACATACATATATACATACATACTTACTTACATACATACATACTTACATACAAGCATATATACATACAAACATACATGCATACATACGAACATACTTACGTACATACAAACACACATACATATATACATGCATACATACAAACATACATATATACAAACATACATACATACACACATCCACACACACACACACCCACACACTCACACCTCCCCCCCCACATACACCCACACACACACCCACATTCATTTGTTAAAAGTGTTTTTCCGGGCGGTGGGAGTGGGTCATGTGTGTCCCAATGTGGTGTGTCTCTGCAGTTTGCAAACCAGACTGCCCTTAAAATAATATAATATATTGAATATAATATAGCATCAAATGGATTAACGCGGACTGAGCTTCTTGAAATAAGGCCAATGGGTTATTTATATATATACAATATATATATATTGTATATATATATATAGTATATATATATATATATGGTTCATTAATCCCTTGTTAGTGGCTCAGACACTTAACCCTGAAGTGAGGACTATTCCTGATGGGGTCAGAGGTATGTTTGTGTTTGGTTGGGATCCAAACAAATACTAAATTGTAGCTTTGCTGAAGTGCTGTCTATCCATCACTTGGTCAATACACTCTTCCTCTATCTATATCTACATTTATATCTATCTATCTATATATATATATAACCACTGTGTTAATCCACTGGAATTGCCTCAAACAAAACAGATTAATTCCGATGTGAAACTTTGTTGTCATACTAAGCAAACATTAGGCTGTTTCAATCATCGCGAACAGCTCGGGGGGAAGACGGATGGACCATCACAACATTGGCTCTGAATAACTGCCCGAAAAGCTGAGTAATGGCAAACACAAACACTCATTTAATAAGATTCTTAATGAACGATTACAACAACACCACCACCACCACCACCACCAACAACAACAACAACAAAAAGATTACATGCCTTTCACATCGGGAGGACGTCCCAAGGCGCTGATTAGGTACAAGTGGCGTTTTAATTTGATACCCAAGTCAATAGCATGTTGATGGCTCACTGACACACTTGTGTGTGTGTGTGTCATGTGTGTATTTTATTCGTGCATTGTGGGTGTTGTGTGTGTTATATTTGTGTGTGTGTCGTGTGTGTATGTTATGTGTGTGTATGTTATGTGTGTGTGTTGTGTGTGTATGTTATGTTGTGTGTTATGTGTGTGTGTTGTGTGTGTATGTTATGTGTGTGTATGTTATGTGTGTGTGTTGTGTGTGTATGTTATGTGTGTGTATGTTATGTGTGTGTGTGTTGTGTGTATGTTATGTGTGTTGTGTGTGTAGGTTATGTGTGTGTGTGTTATGTGTGTGTGTGTATGTTATGTGTGTTATGTGTGTGTGTATGTTATGTGTGTGTGTTATGTGTGTGTGTGTATGTTATGTGTGTGTGTTGTGTGTGCATGTTGTGTGTGTTGTGTGTATGTTATGTGTGTGTGTTGTGTGTGTATGTTATGTGTGTTGTGTGTGTAGGTTATGTGTGTGTGTGTTGTGTGTGTGTGTGTATGTTATGTGTGTGTGTTGTGTGTGTATGTTATGTGTGTGTGTTATGTGTGTGTGTGTATGTTATTTGCGTGTGTGATGGGGAAGGAAAGGGAGTGAAATGAGAGTCAAATATAAAGCCAACAATGACGGAGTGAGTGCGGCCGCACTGAGAAACTGTAATCTTTACAGATTATTGTGTTTTCAAAATGAAAACTTGGGCTGAAATCTGTCCCTATGTGTGTGTCCCTGTGTGTGTGTCCCTGTGTGTGTGTGTGTGTGTTTGTGTGTGTCTGTGTGTCCCTGTGTGTGTGTCCCTGTGTGTGTGCGTGTGTGTATCTGTGTGTGTTTTGTGTGTGTCCCTGTGTGTGTGTGTCCCTGTGTGTGTGTGTCCCTGTGTGTGTGTGTGTCTGTGTGTCCCTGTGTGTGTGAGTCCATGTCTGTGTGTGTGTGTGTCCCTGTGTATGTGTGTCCCTGTGTGTGTGTGTGTCCCTGTGTGTGTGTGTGTGTCCCTGTGTGTGTGTGTGTCCCCGTGTGTGTGTATGTGTGTGTCCCTGTGTTTGTGTGTGTGTGTCCCTGTGTGTGTGTGCGTGTGTGAGTGTGTCCCTGTGTGTGTGGGGTGTGTGTGTCCCTGTGTGTGTGTGTGTCCCTATGTGTGTCCCTGTGTGTGTGTGTGTCCCTGTGTGTGTGTCCCTGTGTGTGTGTGTGTGTCCCTGTGTGTGTGTGTGTCCCTGTGTGTGTGTGTGTCTGTGTGTCCCTGTGTGTGGGTGTGTGTGTGGGGGGGGCGGGGAGGTGTGTGTGTGTGTGTGTCCCTGTGTGTGGGTGTGAGTCCCTGTCTGTGTGTGTGTTCCTGTGTGTGTGTGTGTGTGTGTCCCTGTGTGTGGGTGTGTGTGTGGGGGGGCGGGGAGGTGTGAGTGTGTATGTGTGTGTGTGTGTGTGTGTGTCCCTGTCTGTGTGTGTGTTCCTGTGTGTGTGTGTGTGTGTGTGTGTCCCTGTGTGTGGGTGTGTGTGTGTGGGGGGCGGGGAGGTGTGTGTGTGTGTGTGTCCCTGTCTGTGTGAGTCCATGTCTGTGTGTGTGTGTAATCCCCTAAATCTGTATCCGATTATTGTCAGTGTTCCGCCGCTCCTAAACTCTTTAGTTGTAAACTGAGCCACTCAGTGTGTGTCAGGTTAGTGCATCACCACACCCCCCACACACATACCCTCACACACACCCACACACACACACACACACACACACCCTCACACACACCCACACACACACACACCCCCACACACACACACCCTCACACACACCCACACCCACACACCCCCACACACACACCCTCACACACACCCACACCCCCACACCCCCACACACACACCCTCACACACACCCACACCCCCACACCCACACACACACACACCCACCCCCCCCACACACACCCTCACACACCCCCCCCCCCACACACACCCTCACACACACCCACACACACACCCACACCCCCACACACACACACCCACACACACCCTCACACACACACACCCACACCCCCCCCCACACACACACACCCCCCCACACCCCCCCCCCCACACACACCCTCACAAACACACCCACACCCCCACCCCCACACACACCCACACACACCCCCCCCCCCCCACACACACACACCCCACACACACACCCCCACACACACACCCTCACACACATCCCCCCACACACACACCCACACACACACCCTCACAAACACACCCACACCCCCACCCCCACACACACCCACACACACCCCCCCCACACCACACACCCACCCCCCCACACACACCCCACACACACCCCCCCCACACACACCCTCACACACACCCCCCCCACACACACCCACACACACACCCCCCACACACACCCTCACACACACACCCTCACACACACAACTCCACACACACCCACACCCACACACACACCCACACCCACACACCCTCACACACACACCCACACACACACCCACATATACCCCCCCACCCCCACACACACACCCACACCCACCCACAGGGACACACACACACACACACACACACAGACACAGACACACCCACAGGGAGAAGGGAACATAATCAGCTCAGACTCGCGTAGTACAAAATGTTTGCTCACTGAGGTGTTATTTATGGTGTGTTTGTCCTTCTCTCCTCTCTTCTCCTCCCCCCCTCTCCCTCCCCTCTCCCTCCCCCCCTCTCCCCCCCCACACACACCTCTCCCCCCCCCCCCCCCCCTCTCCCCCCCCTCCCTCTCTCTCTCTCTGATGGCAAAACGTCGCTAAAAAAAACCCTCAAAGAAAGTGAGTGTTTGAGAGAAACGGACCCCCGGATGGTGGCGGCTGAGCTGAGGCTGATCCGGGATTGGGGTCGGGGTTGGGATTGGGGTCGGGTCGGGGTCGGGGTCGGGGTCGGGGTCGGGGGGACGATGTCTCCCGCCAGTCCGGCTTTGCTGCTCTGGGTTTACTTCACCACATTGTGGCGGTGAGTTTCAGTCCAACTCAGTCTTTACAGCGAAAGAAACCGCGACTGAATTTCCTTTTATTGTGAAACGTTCATTCATCCCCTGATTTAGTGTTAGTGCGACTGAGAGAGTGTGTGAGAGTGAGTGTGAGAGAGTGAGTGTGCGAGAGAGTGGGGGTGTCAGTGAGTGTGAGAGAGTGAGAGAGTGAGGGTGAGCGAGTGAGGGTGTGAGAGAGAGGGTGTGAGAGAGTGAGGGTGAGAGAGTGAGGGTGTGAGAGAGTGAGGGAGTGAGTGTGTGAGAGAGTGAGTGAGAGAGGGTGTGAGAGAGTGAGAGTGTGAGAGTGAGAGAAAGTGAGTGAGGGTGTGAGAGAGTGAGGGTGTGAGAGAGTGAGGGTGTGAGAGAGTGTGAGAGAGTGAGGGTGTGAGAGAGTGAGGGAGTGAGTGTGTGAGAGAGTGAGTGTGAGAGTGAGTGAGGGTGTGAGAGAGTGAGGGTGTGAGAGAGTGAGGGTGTGAGAGAATGAGTGAGTGTGAGAGAGTAAGGGTGTGAGAGAGTGAGTGAGGGTGTGAGAGAGTGAGTGAGGGTGTGAGAGAGTGAGTGAGGGTGTGAGAGAGTGAGTGAGGGTGTGAGAGTGAGTTAGAAAGATAGAGTGAGTGTGTGAGAGTGTCAGTGAGAGAGTGAGTGAGTGTGAGAGTGAGTGAGTGTGAGAGTGAGTGAGTGTGTGAGAGAGTGAGGGTGTGAGAGAGTGAGGGTGTGAGAGAGTGAGTGAGTGTGTGAGAGAGTGAGTGAGTGTGTGAATGCATCCTTCTGCAAAGCGCGAGGAAAGGACCAACTTCGAGTGTTCTGGTGATCAGCACTGAGAGTGTCAGTGAGTGTGAGAGCGTGAGTGTGTCAGTGAGTGAGAGTGAATTTGAGATAGTGTGAGTGTGAGAGTGAGTGTGAGAGTCAGTGTGTCAGTGAATGAGAGTGAGTTTGAGATAGTGTGAGTGAGAGAGTGAGTGTGAGTAAGAGTGAGGTAGTGTGTAAGTGAGTGAGTGTGTGAGTGAGTCTGTGAGTGTGTGTGTGTGTGAGTGAGTGTGTGTGAGTGAGTGAGTGTGTGTGTGTGAGCGTGAGTGAGTGTGTGAGTGAGTGTGTGAGTGTGTGAGTGAGTGAGTGAGTGTGTGAGTGAGTGTGTGTGAGTGAGTGTGTGAGTGAGTGTGTGTGTGAGTGAGTGTGAGTGTGTGAGTGTGTGTGTGAGTGAGTGTGAGTGTGTGAGTGTGTGTGTGAGTGAGTGTGAGTGTGTGAGTGTGTGTGAGTGTGTGAGTGTGTGTGAGTGAGTGTGTGAGTGAGTGTGTGAGTGAGTGAGTGTGTGAGTGAGTGTGTGTGTGAGTGAGTGTGAGTGAGTGAGTGTGTGTGTGAGTGAGTGTGAGTGTGTGAGTGAGTGTGTGTGAGTGAGTGTGTGAGTGAGTGAGTGTGTGAGTGAGTGTGTGAGTGAGTGAATCCCACTGCAGAGCGCGAGGAAAGGACCAAGTTCGAGAGTTCTGGTGGTCAGCGCTGTGCCGATGTTTATTGCAGTCGCGGTGAGGCGGTGGGAGACAGTTCTGCAAACCAACTAAAGGTGGTCAAAGTCCATTCGGAAAACATCACCCGTATCCTGGACAGACTGCTGGACGGCTATGACAACAGACTCCGACCAGGATTTGCAGGTGAGAGAGCAGAGTCGTCTTTGCATGTGAAATATTGTCATATTATTACTATTATTATTATTATTATTATTTTGGCACCTTATGTAAGTGACACCTTTGCTGATCTGCATCTCAAGTTTGCGGGTTGTTAAGTTTTCGACAATTTGAGCCCTCACCAGACAGGGTCAGTATCTCATGTCCAACTGACAAATAAGACTTTTGTCCCCCCCCCCCACCCCACCACCCCCCCACCCCAATAAACCCAGATGAACTGAGAATAGGTTTCCGCACGTTCCTTTATAAATAACTTTGAAGTTTTAATAGTAATAATGATCCTTGCATTTGATACCTCGCCTTATCAGGTCTCAAAGCGCTTCACAGAAGTTACTGTAAAGTGTAGTGACTGTATATTTAATAATAATAATTTGGTCGCTTCAGTCCACGACTGTTTGCGGGGACGCTGCTGTGCGCGATTGGCTGCTGCGTTTCGAACACAAACTACACAGTCAATTCACTTTACAGTGTATCCTGTGAAGCGCTTTGAGACGTCTCGAAGACCTGAGTCAAATGCAAAGGATTATTATTAATTTGCGGGCGAAACGCAGTTGCTTGAGATATATGTGGCACGCGCCCATACACACTCCCACACACATCACACACACATACTTACACTCACACACGCGCACACACGCGCACACACACATACACACAACCTGTTAAGATGATCTTTTTCAAACATGTTTTGCTTGGTCTTTTCTAGGTCCTGTGACTGAAGTGAAAACCGATATCTATGTGACAAGTTTTGGTCCTGTATCTGATGTCGAAATGGTACGATTGTGTGTTCGCAATGATTCACTTTGGACAATTGTGTTCCCTTGCATCCTGCATATTTTATTTAATTTTCGCATATATATACTGTATAACCAATTAATTATAACCAAATTTAATTTTCAAATATATATATAAGCTCTGGGATGTATATTCCACGTTATATAAATGTAATTTTGTATTGTATTTTTTAGATATCTCCGTGTATATGGTATGAATATATATATGTGTATATATAATTCTGATATATAGATATATATATATATATATAGAAAAGCAGACATGAGCACATACACAGTGGACTTGTTAGCTAATGTGAGTCCTGCACGTCCCTGCCTGGAGACATGTTAGTGCTGGTTTTATTATTTTGGCATCTGGGCAGAATGTCATTAAGAGAGATTATTTGCTTTAATCAGTTTGACAATCCCTGTCGCCAAAGGTCCTGGGTGATCATTTTATCATTTTTCTGTGGGTCTCGAACAGTAAAAAATACCCTAAACCTGCAGAAGGTGTGGCGGAGAGAAACATTTGGGGAATTTTTGTTTAAAAAAGGGAGAGATAAGTGACTTCCAATTCACTTCCAATTCATTGGCAAAGCCAGGGTTTCCTTTTATAGTAAGAGCGGTGACAATGCATAATCCACTGAAGCATTAGCACGTTGTGTGGGGGTACTTAGTGATTGTGGATTATCCATGTATGGGAGCTGTGTTGTTGTGAGTGTTGTGCAAAGCCAACCGATGAAGCAGTTTAAAGCACTTGTGTTGTACCTCTACAGGAATATACCATGGATGTCTTTTTTCGTCAGACCTGGATTGACGAGAGGTTGAAGTTTGAGGGACCCATTGAAATCCTGCGGCTGAACAATCTGATGGTCAGTAAGATCTGGACGCCCGACACCTTTTTCAGAAACGGAAAGAGATCCATCGCTCACAACATGACGACTCCCAACAAGCTCTTCAGGATCATGAAGAACGGCACCGTGCTCTACACCATGAGGTCAGGCAGAATCGTGCGATGATAATAATAATAATAATAATAATCATAATAACCCTCGTGTTTGTTATAGCGAGTTATCACGTCGCTGAGACGTCTCAAAGCGCTTCACAGCCATATACTGCCAAGTCATTTGACTGCATGTCCTGTGGGCGAAACGCGGCAGCCAATTACGCACAGCAGTGAGTGTCCCGCAAACTGCTGTGGATTGAGTGACCAAATTATTATTTTTTAATTTATTTTGACGGTAATAATAATCCCTGTATTTGATACAGCGCCTTATTACATCTTCTCGACATCTCACAGCGCCTCACAGAATATACTGTAAAGTGAATTGCTGGTATTTATTCATGTATAAATATGTATGTATATGGTGTTATATCTTTGGCACAAACCTGACTTTCCTCCACTGATTTCAGACTCACTATAAACGCGGAATGTCCCATGAGACTGGTGAACTTCCCAATGGACGGACATGCTTGTCCCCTCAAGTTTGGCAGCTGTAAGTTCCACGTTTTGGCCTTTATGCTTTATTGTTTTGCAGAAACCGTGAACATAATACCTGATGATTATAGCACTGGGAGAGTTCATTGAGCTAAGACAATTGCAGCATGATGTTTAGGAGAGAATCTCGTTGTTGACTCTTAAATGTAAGTTCATTGAGTACCTACCTAATGCTATTATGTGTATCAGCAGTGACCTTACCCTGTAATTGAATGTCTGGCAGTGAGGGATAGACTATTAATGGCTTCTGTTGATGTCATAAATGCGAGTGAAGCTCCTGTAACGTGTCTATCAACAGACTGTTGAATTATAGCCTTGAATTCACTGCCCTCTAATTTCCCATTTGGACCACAAAATTTGTTTAATTCAACCACACCTTTATGCATCTAGGTCTCAGTATTCAGGTTATAGGAAGACGCAATCACTCAGCCAAGCCAATAATGATCAATCCCATTTATATTTTAACTCTTCTAAACCTTACTAACCCGCCAGCTCCCTCCGCTCAGCAAGCACTGGTCTGCTTCACATCTGACCCCCTGCCAGCCCAACCATCGATGATCGAGTCTTCAGCTTTCTGCCCTGACTCTGGATCTCTATCTGGAGTTCCTTTGGCCTCACCCTTCCCTTGCCTCCTTCAAGGTCCTTCAAAAGACCTTCCTCTTTGACCACGCCTTTGGCCATCCCCCCACACACACATTTGAATAATCTCCTCCAACCATAATATTTTTTTCTAAAAATAAATTAGAGGAGAGATGTAAGGTGCCCCCAAATATGATATACTTACTGGATTGGCAGTAATATATATTAATGGTAATTTACTCATTGGCGGGTGGGCCTTCTGTCACTCTGCCCCTACCTCCAGAACTCAATCCTTCCGCCTCACTCCCTCCCTTGCCATCTCAAGACCCTTCTCTTCGATTGTGCTTTCATCCTCCTTCTCCCCCTGCCCTCCACCCTCCCCGATCCCGACCCCCAGCTCGGGTCCGAAACACTGACTGTCCAGCGCCTTGGGACGTCCTCCCAACATGAAAGGCGCTTTACACATGTAACTTTATTGTTGGATTGTTGGATTCAATGTCTATTCTTCAAAGTTTGGTTTCTACGTTCCCTGTTATACTCTGGATTATCTGAATGTGCCAATAAAGTAAAGACAGCAATGACATCAATGAAAAGATCCAAAAATTGTGAATGTCATTCAACTAAATGTCATGAGACAGGTGCTGGTGTATTAAGCTATTATAAGGAAAGAGGGAAGGATATACTGATGGTATTCTATTCTATCTCTGTTGTCATACATCATACTACTGGTACGGCACTTCAAACAGTGGTTTATTATTTGTGGTTTATTGTTATTCTCGTTCTTCTTCACCTTTCTGACTCTCGTACCAGCCATCCCTAAAATACACAGAAGAGAGAGGGCAAAGAGACAGTTTGAGTCAAATTACTTTACACGGAGCATGGCGAATATGTGGATCAGACTTCCCAGGGAGTTAGTAGAGGAAGATTATGTCAGAAAATTGAGGGAATTAGATAGGCATTTGGCAAATAAATCGATTGAGACGTACAAGAGATACCGTGTAGGATTATTGTGTTTTATTAAAGTTTTTACATTTGATATGAACATATTGGATTACAATAGACTTTTCAGCTCCTGTACATTTCTATGATCTCATGTCCCTTGCCCAGCTTTTCAGCTTTGACTTTCTTATTCCTTGTCTAGAATTTTATTCTCTGTGTTTTTTAATCTCTCTTTGAGTCTGTTTCCCTCCTCGCACCAGATTGCTGCCTTGCTCAGTTGTTTTGTTTCCATTGTTGGCAATGCTTCATGTTGGCTTACTCTGTACCTATCTATGGCTTTCCCCCCAGCGTGACTTTCTCCTTCACACTGCTCTTCCAGATTTCCTCTCTTATGGGAGTTAATTATCATCGGTCACTTTCTCCTTTGTAGAAGCCTCTCTCTCTCTCTGCCCCTAACGGTAACTCATGATAACAATGAAACAAAATATATGTCGATGGTTGGTAAATTGTTAAGTAGAAAAAGAAACGCTCATGATTGCAGAAGCCGCCTTTAGCAGTGGTTTTATTTTTCATGATTCCGCAATAAATGCCTTTAACATAATTGCTGCTCTGTGAACTTATTATAACTCCTAAGGAATTATATCTAGTTCACCACCTTGTTAATCCAGGGCTGGGTGGGGGGTTTCGGTCCTGTGGTGGGGGTCAGACACATCTGTACCTTGCTCTAATGCTCATTCTTCATGTGTGAGCCTTAGCAGTCAGTTGAACCTGTCCTCATTGTTTTATGTTCACACAACCACAGCTCCCACTGTATATGGGTCTTTGGACAGTAATTATGAACGGATACACTGATTTTCCCTTCCTTAATCCAGGGACCTTTAGGCCAATTGTAACATCAGCGCAATTGCTGGTGTGAGTGGGAACAAGTAATTCAGTAGAGTTCAGGGATTGAAACCCCCAACCTTCCAGTTTATTGTTCAGGGCTGTGTCTTTACCTATTGGGCCACTCTGTCCTATTTAAGCACAGATTAAGTGTTTTGATAGCTGCACAATATCAATATCAAAGGAATTTTACCTTTGATTCACCCGCTTACACGCATTTTGCCGGCCCCTGTTTAAGTATTTGTCTTTCAGATAATTAATGTAAAATTAAATGCAAATACGTGTGACATCTTTTGAATGCCGAAGATAATATCTGTGCGCAGTCAATTCACTTTACATTACATCCTATGCTGCACTTTGAGACGTCTCAATTTCGTGGTAAGACGCTATATCAAATGCAAGGATTGTTATTATTTTTATTATTATCTGTTGGGTAATTATAGCAGGTGACAACATTACAATGTTTAATTTACAGATGCATATCCGAAAAGCGAAATCATTTATACATGGAAGAAAGGCCCTTTGTATTCAGTTGAAGTGCCTGAAGAATCCTCAAGTTTGCTTCAATACGATCTGGTGGGGCAGACGGTGTCCAGTGAAACTATGAAATCGAACACAGGCAAGTGTTCATTTTACTACTTTAGGTCTTGCAAATGTCAAGTGCTGATTCCTTTTAGTCTTCACAAGAATTTGGCCTTAACTCTATTACTGATGTAAAATTCTCAATAATCAAGTCATTTTAACAAGGAAGGCTGTAAACGTGCGTTACGGAATATACTGGAATATTCGGGTTAATAAACAGCGAGAATTGACCGCCTGCATTTGGGATTGCGGTTTGATGTTAGAAAATGCATTAATGAGTGTTTGACACAGTAACACATTGAGGATCCAGATAACATCAGAAGCCTTGCATGTTGAATCCGAGTGCACCATAGAGGTTGCCTTGCCCTCACGTGTGTCATTTGTGTTATGTGCTCTGGAAAGTACATTGCAGCCTGTGCTATACCTCACCACACTCGTCACTGCAAAGCTCTGATCTCCTGCAGTTCGACTGCCCTGTACGTATCTCCACTCTGCTCACTCAGGCCTGCCTTGTGTCCCCTGGTCCCTTCCGCCACACCACCTACTCTGCCTCCACTCTCTGTAACCTTCCCCTGATTCCCTAGGCCTCACACTCTCCCTTTCTCTGCCGTCAAAACCTTCCCCAAAACCTACCAGATGGCCTCACTGTCCTCCTACCCCTTCTCCCTCTCACCTCGCTGGGCTCCCATTTCTATTCTGTGAAGCGCTTTGATACATTTCCTACGCAAAACATACATATAAGTCCAATGTATAAATATTTGTCTTTTTATGAACAGTTGAATAATCAGCGATAGCTCTCCAAATCGTATCCATCGGTGGCTAAACCCCTTGATGCAGTTTCCATGATACAATCACAAAATCCTACCATCTGTTTGAAACAGAATGTCCGCTGTGTTCAGAAGAAATTCCTCTCCTAATACGTGAATTTGAGAACAGCGAAGAGTTAAGAGAATGAATTGCCCCTGTTCAGGAAGTCTGCTTAACTTGCTTTGTAAGCTTATTAAAGACTTTTTGACATTGTAAATGCACATGTCTCACATGTTGATGTGGTTAAAGCCCTCGCCTCGCAAGCGAGAGACCTAGGCTCGATTCCCAGCAGGTCAGGGCGAAACCTTGGGCAAGGTTTCTCCACACGCCTGATAATAATCTCTCAAGAAAAACAATAATAAATTGGTCACTTCAATCCACGGCTGTTTGTGGGGACGCTGCTGTGCGCAATTGGCTGCCGCATTTCAGCCACAAATATACAGTCAATTCACTTTACAGTATATATCTTGTGAAGCGCTTTGAGACGTCTCAAAGAAGTGATGAGGCGCTGTATGAAATGCAAGGATTATTATTATTATTTTTGAACAGCAGGAAAGTTCACCTGAATAATGTACAAAGTGCTTAGAATTAACTTTGAAAGCGAAAGCGATGTTTAACCTTCAATGCCACCAGCTGTTGTATCCACACAGCCCCATCTTGGCATGTTTGCCATGTATTCAGAATTGCATCACTCGATCTGACACATGTTACATGTTTTGCATTTTTTTNAACTATTTCTCACATTCATTGGTTGGCTTCCAATTTCATTGCACTTGAACTCGTCAACATAAAGATATATAAAAGTAAAATAAAAAGGGTACATATCTGCCTGTTCACCATAAAACACAGTCACTGCACTTTACAGTATATCGTGCAAAGCGCTTTGGGATGTCCTCTTGATGTGAAAGGCACTATTCCAAACATAAGGACTATTGTATTAGTTGCTTTACCAAGTCAGGCACACTGGTCTCACATGTTTATGATACGTAGATGTTTATTTCAGATGCCGATTTATTTTCCTGAATTATTTTGAATGAGGTAGAAACTCATTTCAAAAAACAAACAGATCTTGGGGCTGAGTGGTACTGTAGAACTCTTCTAGCATATCATCCTGTCCGCTCCCTCCGCTCAGAGGGCTCCAGCCTGCACCACATCCCCCCCCCCCGGCACGCCCCACCATCAGCGGTCGGGCCTTCAGCCTCTCTGCCCCCACCTTCTGGAACTCCATCCCTCAGTCCCTTCACCTCGCCCCCTCCATCTCCTCCTTCAACTCACATCTCAAGACCCTCCTCTTCAACCGCGCCTTCGGTCATCATCCTACCCCTGCCCTCCCCCTCTCCCTGATCTCAAGCCCCTACTGGGGTCCGAATCCCGGACTATCCAGCACCCTGGGAAGTCCTCCCGACATGAAAGGAGCTAGACACATGTAATGTGTTGTTGTTGGCCTTGCTCTCACAGTATGTAATGGTGTTTGAACCTGACAGTTGGGCAGTGGATGAGGCAGAAATGCAAGTGATCTAGTTTTTCAGTTTCCACTCAACTCCCTGTCACACACAGAGGAGAGCAAAAGAAGCTGTTTCACACGGAGGTGATGCAGTGAGAGATTAAGATGATATCAAATATTGCAATTAACACTCAGAGTAATTATTAAAGCTATCTCAATATCAGCATAATTTATTGCCTTGAAAGACTCTCCAGCCTGGGCTGTTCTTTCTAACACATACTGATGACATTTGGGGTATCATCTTTATTCCAGTTTAAATTCTCTCTTGCAGAAGCTCCTACAGTTGTAAATTGCTTTTGTAGTGTGTGATTTGAGGCTGGAGTGCTATTGTAGCACTTAATTTGAACTGCAGTGATTTCAGGTTTTATAGGGGAATAAGATACCATGAATGGTCCTCACTCACATGGTTGGTAGAGTTACTGACTGGCAGATGAGCAGCCTTTATTCTCCACTAGTCAGGAAGAATACTGAATAGTATTGTGAGCTGTGACACTGACTTGGAGGCAGGACTCAAAAGACAAACCAGCTAAAGATAAATAGACATCCTTCCAAAATGTTATACAGAGTTACTGGCAGGTAAATACCCGAGTGCAATAGGGGACAATCAAACCGAAACACTCCGAATTGAATCGAAAGGGAACTGAAGAGTGATATTAAGAAAAAAAGAAAGATTTACTCAATTTGTAGAGATGAAGGAGAGGGTTGAGCAGATCATTCAGCTGAATATAAGTCTGTACAGACAGGAGTTAATACAACTGTTCGCTATAGTGAGAGGATGGTAAGGTGGGTATTTTGGAAGGATGCAATCAAATGGGCTGTCATTCTTTTTTCATGTGGTAGTCTTGGCAAATACACTGATGATCAAAGAATCAGCCCAACCAAGTATCTTCATATATGCAAAAAATGGGATGCACATTATGAAAATAAATCACTATGTAACTCTGATCTACAATAACTAAATGTACAATGATTTGTGATGAGGCAACCTAATAAATCAACAAATAATAAAGAACAAATAGACTTGGACGTTTCAACCATCATGAGACATTTGTGCTAAGATGGAAGTCATTTACTTGAAGAAATATATATCAGGCAGCTTACGTGACTTTTTGAAAGGTTTTAAATGCCTTGCCTTATTGTAATACTCTTTTCTAAACGTAAATTAAAATATCAGTGTAAATGTTTGGCTGCCATCAACTGCATGCCTATAATATAGCCAAAATACTGTCTGGGAAATGATGCAACAAATTCCAGTATTTCCTTTGTTAAGGTTAGCTACACAACTAATTCAGGTCTTAATATCTTGTGGGCTAGTTAGGTATTTGCAGTGCTGCATGTATTAATAAGAAATAAAAATGTACAAGTATTACGATCCCCAAAATGTTCACTTTTTTCCTTCAACAGGTGAATACATAGTTATGACCGTGTATTTTCACCTAAAAAGGAAGATGGGCTACTTTGTCATTCAGACTTACATTCCTTGCATTATGACAGTAATTCTCTCTCAAGTGTCTTTCTGGATTAATAAGGAGTCTGTCCCAGCTAGAACAGTATTCGGTACGCCATCATTTACAACACCTTATTCTACCCCTGTCCTCATCGTCACGTCTGTGTTTATTTACCAGCATCATTTATCCATTTCAGGCGAATATTCCATCCAAGTCATTTATTTTCGTCTCAAAAGAAAACTCGGTTACTATCTCATTCAGACTTACATTCCATGTATCATGACCGTACTCTTATCCCAAATTATATTTTGGATAAACAAAGAATCCGTGCCTGCTCGAATTCTGGCAGGTAATGAAACCCTTTGTTGCGTCTCTTTGTGTGTGAGTGTGCACACGTGTGTGTGTGAGTGTGTGCGTGTGTGTGTGTGTGTGTTTGTGCGTGCGTATGTGTATAACATTGCGATCTAGAAGTCAAAGCGTTGGTTGCCTTGTACCATTGTTCCGTGTTCCTATTTGTCCTTCGTGCACGAAACACGAGTGTGGTTTATTTAGTGTGCGAAGGTGACCTTCTTTCTCTCCTGATTGCTGAAGGCATCACTACGGTCCTCACCATGACGACGCTGAGCATCAGTGCCCGCCACTCCCTACCCAAGGTTTCGTACGCGACCGCCATGGACTGGTTCATCGCTGTGTGTTTCGCTTTTGTCTTTTCCGCGCTGATTGAATTCGCGGCCGTGAACTACTTCACCAACCTGAAGGCCGAGAAGGACCAAAGGAAAGCAGCCAGAGCCGCGGCGTTTGCAGCAGTGACCGGAGTGTGCGAGACCGAGGAGGTCATCTCGGTGAGTCCCGCTCATTCCCTTCGGCTCAGACGGGAGAGGAGAGGAATAGCTACGACTGCAAATGCACGCATTTTTAAAAAGAAATCTACATATATTTTCTTTTCAAAACAAATGTCTATTTATTTGTCGATAGAAATGTAGATTTTCACCGACCTCAAGAGAAACAATTGCCGCGACAGAAAACTCATTTTGTTTCCCGTTACAGGATGCAAGATACCTGGCCCCTTGCGTGTGGTGGGGGCGGGGTTGTGCGGAGCGATGTGGGGGGGCAGGGGGTATAGTGGGGGGAGTTGCTAAGGCTTCCCCGCCTCAAGGTCCTTCTTGCCAACCTCCCTTTGCAGGGTGCAGTTGCAGGTGGGGGTCTTGTACCCCCCTTTCCTGTCACCCCCCCCCCCACCGCCTCTTTATGGGGAATGAATGTGCACAGGTTCTGGAGTTCAGCAGTGAATGGTTTACCTGATATCCCAGCAAAGCCAATGGTGTAAACTCCCCAACATAATGTTTGACAAGACACACTGGCACACGCGCTGAGTGAAATCGCATGAGTTAGCGGCAAATGTTTTCTGGGGTGGATTTTGTTTTGTGGGCTGACTCTGTAGCTGTGCGGAATTGCACGTCACATAACAGCAGACTGCCTTCACAATGCAAACACCTGGAACCTGCATTAAAACTATCCTTTAAATCAATTAAATTAAAACGCTGTCTCATAAAAAACTAGTACACGTCCCCCTAATGATTCAAGGCAGTGGTTAATCCTTTCATTTATAACATCATCTGAACTCCTTAACTAGATTTCAGCCTTGTAATCACAGGCAAACAGTCAATGTTCTATATTTACACATAAAAGGGAAAACAATACAGCGAATAAGGCAGTTTGTAAGAAACATTTGAAGCCTGTTCTTTGGATATAGTAGTAAATAATGTTTCTAATGTGTACCACTATTGAAACTAACTATTGACCAACATTTCACATACAAACCCCAGTTTATTATTGAGATAATAACGCAGTTGAAAACAAGTATTACTATTAGTATTCTGCAAACACTCGCTGCATTAAAGGATCTCGTTGACTGTATAAATAAAGTATGATGAAAGGAAATCAAAAATCCTAGCAGAACGTTTTCTGGGACGGAGTTGCAAGGTTGTTTTTTAATTAAGGAACCCAGAAGAAAAAAGCAGCTGATTCTCATTGAGCCAAACCTGCAGTGCTTTCATTTACACATCTCTCCTTATCTATCTCCTGTCACTCTTCACTGCCTGAGCTGAATGTGATGATATAATAATAATTCAAAAGAAGTTAAAGCATAGCGCGGAGTTACTTCTGCTGTTGACTCCAGTTCTGGGGCTTTAACATTGGCTAAATCAATATTTCTTAAGATGCGATTAACAATTTTTTGTGAGTGTCCGGTTTTTCCAGCAAATCTTTTTCAACCTTTGCTGGGATGCGGTGTGATGTTTAAGAAAATATCCTGAAAACAGCTGCATCTTTCCTGTACGGGTTATTGACTTTTATCGCACGTTTTCTCAATACAGCCAAGAACCTGTAAGGCCAAGTTACTTAGCCAACTATGAGGTTGGCCCTTCGAGTAACATGCAAACTTGCTTAGTGTTTAGTACTGGTTAAGAGATCGCTGTGCCTGTGCTTACTTGTGCCTCACAGTACCCAACTAATGTGTTTTTATTGCAGAAATTATAAATTGGGGCTTCTCACATCTAATTAACTGGTGCTGCAAGCAATAAGCAAACATGCAGTAGTTTAAACTGGCCATTACTGCGGTGGGCTACAGAGGGTTAGGAAAGAGGTTCTTCCTGTTACAGGTCTCATCCTGGCTGAGTGAGTAGATAGATCGCTTAGCTCTGGGTCAGAAGATTCACAAGATCACAAGAAAGGTTTTGGATGAAGAAGACCCATTGCCCCATCTGATCCCATCCTTCCAGAAAGCCACACAACCTACCCCCGCCCCCAATCAGTGTCAAGCCACTTATTAAATGTCTGGAATTCAAGCCACATGTCAAGACTTTGAGACCATAGTTCAAGCTGACATTACAGTGCAGTGTTATGGGGAGACCTACATTGTTGGTGGTGTTGTCCTTCAGATGAGATGTAAACCTGAAGTCCCATCTGCTCGATCAGGTGGTCATTAAACATCCCAGGGTACAAATTGTAAAGAGAAGTGAGTTTCTCTTGTAATCTGGCCAACGATCGACTAGATACCATCGTTCAGTCACTTTATGGCTGTTTGTGGCTCATCTCTGCTGACATTTGCCTACAATTACTCATTTTACAAAAACATTGAGATATTTGTGACGTTAAAGGCACTAATATCAAATGCAACTATTATTATTGTTATCATAATATCAGGTATGAGCGGCTTAATAAATATTTACAAATTTAACTCATTCAAATAAAGCAAACTAAAAAAAAATACTACCTTGTACTTCAAAGGAAATAGCACTATTCCCTGTATTAGCCCACCTGATCGATTAAATATACAAAGGTATATCGTGAATCACAAAACAGAGTCCATTCTATTTTTAATCCCAAAGAAAGCTGAACGTAAAATGCCCCAGAATAGCAGGATGTGGATTTGCCTGTGCAATGACGGGTTCCTGACCTCATTTGGACTGTCAAGTGAAGGTGATGAGTGGAAGCCAGATGCTTCCTCAGTGGGAGAATGATTAGAGGGAATTATTCTGATGGTCTCATGCAACTCCTAGTGGCTGGAGAATGCCAATGGAAAAGGACAAAAGCACCTTGTCAGCCTGCCTTGCCCTCTCTGCCGGAGAAGGCTGGGTGGGATTGGGAAGAGAAATGCGAGGAGGCGAAACAACCAGGTAGCAAAAGAAATATTTCAAGGAACGTCTTTCGGTCACTGGTCTGCATTTGCGTCTTTATGTCAAGAGGGAGGTGGGGCGGAGGGGACCCCATCACTTCTGCAGATGAACGTTAAAATGTTTCTAATAATAATAATAATATCAATGTCAGTGTCACGAGATGCTACCCTGCTAGAGAAAGGCCAGTTGTTGTTGTTGTTGTCAATTTCATCCACGTTCACAAAAGGGGGTGACCTTGCTTTCGTAAACTAAATTGAGCTGAGCTGAATGGGGTGTAAATATATCTGTAAAGAGGGTTTTTCATGTGTCTTTAATTATCCACTTCAAAATCAATGACTGCAATCTGTTACCTACACAGACATGTGCAACCATGTTAAGCTAACAAAATTGCACCTAATATATTTTTAAATCATTGTATCGTGATTCATCCACAACAAGTCTGATGAGCATCGAGATCTTAATTAGGGACCATCCTGTTCCTATGTTGTGGTTATCTTGATGGCTCTTGAACATAACCCTCAACAAAGACTTAAGTTACCACAAATTCCGCAAGTGTTTGGACATTGATAAAATCTGAATTTGAACCAATAATTCCAGAAAGAGGTTTGCACACAAAATAGGAGTTTCGTAACCACCCATAAACCGACCAAGGTTCATATTGGGAAGTGGGGTACCTGTGAACAGGGGCGAAAATTCAAAAATGATGCAAACTTCAGAGAGAGAGAGAGAGAGACACACACAGTCAGCCACCCCCCACCACCCCTCCCACACACACACAGGTACAAACACAGCCACATCACACACAGACAGACGCACACAGACACACATCACAGTGTTATAATAATCCTTGCATTTGATACGGCGCCTTATCACGCCTTCCAGACGTACCAAGGCGCTTCACAGGATATACTGTCAAGTGAATTGACTGTATATTTTGTGGGTGAAACGCAGCAGCCAATTGCGCACAGCAGCATCCCACACACAGCCGTGGGTTTCAATTTTCACGTATAATACATCATTTTGAACCAACCGAGCGTTAATTGTACATTGTCTTCCCCTTCTCAGCACTCAGACTCCGAATGCAACTTGAAGAAAAGGGTCAATTCTCTGGTACATCGAAGGCAGTCGGCAGCCAATGCATCAGTAGGTGATGCCAGTATTATCACCACCGCACCACACACCTGCACCCCACCTTGTGTTCCCATCTTTCCACAAGGTGCCCACACTGGTACTAGCAAAATAGACCAGTACGCCAGGATCTTATTCCCGCTCTCGTTTGGAGCATTCAATCTGGTGTATTGGGTCGTGTACCTCTCAAAAGATACTATGGAAATGAGCAGTAATATTTAATGTGACGATGCCATACGTTGCAGGTACAGTATATACAATTAGACGGTATTGTGTCAGTGTATATAGATACCTAAGGAGTGCGTTAGAAATAAGGGTTTGTGACAACTGAGTTAACAACACAAGATGTTGAAGACAAGATGTGACAAGATACCTTCTACCTTGAAGCCCATTCTTGTACATTCTTGGCTTCTTTCTAACACGTACAGCATCAAAACCCTCACTGGACAAGCAAGGTTTGGATTGTGAATGGAAATAGAGCAGAGAGGCAATAAAATAATTTGACAATACAAACATTACAGAGCGTATTGAGAGCGCTAAACTCAATGGATTAGATAACCTTTACTCACCCTATACTTTTGTTTTTATGAAGCATATTTATCAGTATACCACATGGTTGAAACTCAAGTCATAGGAAATTTTGAGTAACTATTTTCATAGAAATTACAGTATAGATGGAAGCCATTCATACTATCAAACACTAACCTCTCTAATCTCAATCCCCAATATGGAGATTGAGTCATCTTGGAGGCATTCCTTGTTAATTACCAAAGTTATTTAAAATAAAGGTAGAAGGATGTTTGGTTAGTAGACGTATAAGGTGATTTGACAAGGTATTAGGATTAAAGAATCTGCCAACGACCAATAAACTGGTCGAACAGGCTCGAATGGCCTCCTCCTTACTAAATCTGACAAGATGTTTCTTGAAAAAAGGTATCTCTTTTCCGCTATTTCTTTATAATATATTAAAATGATAACTGCACAGTAAGCAGAATAAAACAACATACTGCAGCTTTAAAATACCTTTATGAATTGGAAGTTGCACTGATATAGGTGCTACATCTCACAGAACAGAATGAACAAAGATAAACAATGCCAAGTCTGGATAAGTGTTATCTGGAAAGCAACAACACATTCAGAGACAGCCAAATATTTTCAGTCTCATTTTATCCATATGTAAGAAACATATCTGATGGAAACCACGGGCTGTGCACAGTCAGGGTAATCTCCTGTTACATCAGATCTAACGTGGACCAAATATGTATTTGTGTAAATAATGCAATGCTTTTCTCTACAAATTTCCTACGTGTAATAATTTAATTTTATTGATCTCCCGTGGTGATGGATATTCCAGTATTTGCCTTGTATTTAGTCAATGGATCGAAAAATCAAACGGGTTAGCAAACCCTGATGTTCGAAATGGCATGTGCTACAGAGATGTATCAGAAGAATGTTTATTTAAAATTATTGAACTCCCGGTCAGTGGCGCTGTGACTGTTTGAGATGCATTTTGTTAGCTGCCGACTCACTTTTCCAACTTTAATTGGAGGGAATGAATCCTTAAAAAAGACCAGGAATTATCCAGGAAAAAAAACCTGATCAACGAGGATCCATCCATACTGTAAAGGGGCAAATAATAAAAAAAATCCTTGCGTTTGATATAGCACCTTATCACGTCTTCGAGACATCTCAAAGCGCTTCAAATGTTGTACGAGTGCAGAAACGAAGCTTAAAGAATTTGTGATGGAATCAGAAAAACAGTTATTTTAATTGGAGGCTAGAGATATTGCTTTGTTCTGTAGTTTGTAACCGGAAAGGATAGTAATTCTCTCCCAGTCAATACCTTGACTTTTCCAGTCCTAGTAGAGAAAGAGAGAAGGGATTGGAAATTGGTAGATTTCCTTTTCTCTTCCCTCCCCTCCTATTCCATCCCTATCAATAGTCTGCTCACATTACCTGAATATCTAACATTGACTGAGAGATACGTGCAATACTGCTGGTCTGTTTTGCATGCATAGACATTTTTTTCTATAGGAGTGTCTTTTATGCTCGAGAATATGTTTGCATGGTTAAAAAAGTAAACGATGTATATTTTCTTTAAACAAAGTACATTCCAGATTAAATCTATAGAAAGCTTTAAGTATTTACAATGTGGAACTGCAGAATTTTTTGGTAAATAAGTATTTTTATTTTTGTGACTTTCTGAGATACCCCGAAATAATAAACAGCATGTGAACAAGAAATCTAAGATCATCGCAGAACATGTCGTACCTACCAAATGAAACTGAATGATCCAGTCAAATCTGATACTATTCCAAACTCTTTAGCAACTCCGTGTTTAACTCTTATATGTGTAAAATAGGGACAGTACAGTCACGGCTATTATTATACGGTTTGTACATGCCGTATTGCTAGCTCTAGAATATGGAGTGCTTACTAGGAAGAAGGTGCCTATTCAATTATATAAGAACGGCGTGCATCATGTCCATTACATCCAATGCAACAGATACTGTCAGGTCACCTTCCTGTAGATTTATATGGCATGTGAAGGTGTTCATTCCTGGACCTGGACTTTATTTCCTAAACACATTATAGATCCACCATCACGAGGATAGGGATAAGTCGAGAGCAAGAGAATCTGTGCAAGCGATAATGTATTCCTGTAACAATTCCACTAAGTAAGTATTGCAGCTATAATAAACACTGGCCACTTGCCCCCACACAAGTGATGCCAATGGAATATGCTTCAGTTATTTTGTAAAGTGAGATTATGGCACAGCTTGAATTCCGACTGCAAATGTCTAACATATTGGAAGTTTAAATTAGTGACAGGTTAACATTCAGCTCCTCTCGTAACCTAACCTGATGTTCTGACACTCACTTAAACTGGTGTTAGCAGGAGCTTTATCAGCTGTGTGTTCTCCCAGCTCAGCCTATCGGCAAATGGTCAGTTCAGGCCACTTCAGACTCAACACAGATTTTAAGTGAGAAAATAATTGAGCAGCTGAGGAGTGGGAATAGTTGACTTGAGCCCTGCTCTCGCCGAAGCACAGGACTGAGATTCACACACAGGGTCCAACACAATGTTAGGGGGCGTGGGGTGGGGCGGAACTGATACGACTTACAAATATTGTCGGCAAAATACTTTGTCGTTAATTGTCGTTGAGTTTACTCACCGATGGCCCCATTTACAATGAGGTTATTGTGGCCACTGTAGCAGGCCATCTTTAGCAATCCAAGATATTGTCTAGGAACGTTGGATCTATTGACACTGACAGGTCTGTGGCTATGAATATTGGTTGAACAAAAAGGATTTGCTTTCTCTTGTTATATCCTTGGCGTTTTTGAGGAGCGGGTGATATCTTTAAATTTGAACTGAATGGGTTTGACCCACCGCTGGGATCGGATTTATATTCAAATAACTGCTCAGTAATTAAGTCATGTATTTTAAAGTGTTCATTACAAATTAAGATTCGGATACCATCATACACTGGACAATGCAGTTTCATTAAAGGGACACTGATTTCAAGATGTCTTTAGCGAACCTAATTTGTTCCACTCTGTATAACCAGCAATACAGGATTTAACAAACAGATTCATGAACTTGATGCCCCTTTAAGGTAGAGTTTAATGTGAAGCACGGGCTTTCAAGAAGATTTTCTTGAAGAGCAACTTCACCGATAAAAAGCCTCAAAATGAAACCCATTTCAAAATTGATTAGTTTTGAAAGATTTGTCATCAACTTTGCACCTTTCTTTCCTGTTATTTCTGGGGATTTTCTTTAAACAGTCAGTCTTGCTGACATGATTCAGAGGAATAGCATGCATGAGAAGATATAGTGCCCACTGGTATGTGGGAGCTGAATTAACACTACACAGATGATGCATCAGGTTTAAGATGCTAATTCAATTCAGCTACTCTGTCAAAGCTAGTAATTGTCACTCAGGCTCACTGTTTTAACAGTGTTAGTTAATACTGTTACCAGAAATGTGCAGAAGGAATTAAATTGACATTCAAGTAATTCTGAATTTTTTGTAATAAATGGATTTGTTTATATAAGAGAGTGAGCCTTGTTGTTTATAATACGTCATTAACTACTTACTTAATATGGAAAAAAACACTTATTTATATGTATAATTATTGAGTAATGAAACATGGTATTGTTTTATATACTCATATTAAAGACAAATCATTTTAACTTGTATGATTAAAAAAAACAAATTATTTTCATCTGGAGTAGATATGTGCAATATTTTTTTGGAATGGAACTCCTATATCTTGATTTGTTTATCTCTGAAACATCTATTTTTTAAAAAAGAAGTGGTTATGGTACATTGTACAAAATGTAGGTTGTTTTAAGATGTATTTGTATGCTTGGTACTATCCGTTTGATTTCAAATAAAACAATCTATGCTTTTTTTATTGTGCATGTGATATCCGCTTTAAGATTAGAAGCAATAGCTTCTTTTTTGCTGTTTCTCACTTTTTGAAATTAAAGGTTTTAATATTCTTCTCTGTACCAAACTGCTTGAACCTCTCCTTGCCAGGCTCCAAATGCTCCCTGTTTCCCATAGGATTGACGATAAGATCCTTATCCTAACTTTCAAATAGCTCTATGTTCATCCACATAATGTTGCATTCCTGCTATTAGTCTCTGGTCTGTGACTTCAGCTTCAAGATCCAGACTTAAGTTGACACTCAAAAAAAGGTACATTTAATGCAGTTATAAATGTGCAATTTTTACGCCAAAGCAACAAATCAATAAAAGCTATGGACTGTTTCTCGCACATGTTTCTGATGTGGGAAACGTTACATTAAACAGTTGAATCGAATAGGTTACAGTCTTGTACAATGTTCATTAGCAGAGCAAAGCGAGTTTTGAGCCCTCATTATACAGGAGTGGGCTGCTGCAGATGTTATTTGGCTTTAGTGAGGATTGTCACATAGCAACGGTGTTTGATTCACAATGGGCCAATAGGCAAAGACTAATCCATGGTCATAAATTACGATCAAATCCATCATTTCAGAGCTGGAGAATACATGTCTGAATGTTGTAATATAAAATCTATTGACTTTAGAGCACTAATCTATCCCAAGGCTTAATTGAATGTACACACGTGTTTGCTCTCTGTTAGTAATATAAATGGAATTGATAATGTAGATAAAAGATAGTTATTACAATAACAAAGGTCAATTGCAAAGGTTTCTACACCATAAACATCATGAACATTGATGTAGTCAGATGTCAAGTGCAGGATTGCAGTGTAAGTGGGAGGAGTAAAGTGACTTTACCATCAATGTTTCCAGTGGAGCAATTCTTGATGTTTCTTTACAGTTCCAACTCACTTCATTGTCTAAAGATGACACTCCAGTTCACTGTGGTGCACTGTATTGAGTGAAGACCTTATACCAAGATCTTGTCTGCCTGTTCAGGTAGACGTTAAAGATTTGTGTCACTATTTGAAAAGAGGAAGGAGTTTCTCCTGGTTTCCTGGTCAACATTCCCAAATACAAACTGTTCATTCACTTTATAGACGGTAGAGGGACATTGC